ATTATATCTACCAGGTTCCTCCTGCAGAGATAGAGACACTATTGCTGCAGCACCCGGGAGTGCGTGACGTCGGCGTAGTGGGGCTTCCCCAAGCAATGGCAGGTGAGGTGCCGCTTGCCTTTGTGGTGCCTCAACCCGGTGCTTGCCTTTCAGAGGCAGAACTGCAAACATTCGTTGCCGATCGGGTGTGTATAAAATAATTAAGGAACTAAACGAACTGAAGTTAAGAAAATTTGAGTTTCTATATGCAATATATATATTTCGTAGACGTGATGTATTTGCGTAAATAATAACGCAAAAGCCATATTTTAAAAATTGTCTATATGTCTGTTTGCAAGGTTAGGTATGTTCCGGGTAATATAAAATTTTGTTGCAGCTGTCAAATCCAAAACATTTACGAGGCGGCGTCCGATTTGTTGAAAAAATACCGCGTAATCCAACTGGAAAAATATTACGAAGAAATCTGCGCGAAATGCTCAAAAATGAAAAAAAAACATTAGATTAAGATAACAAGTCTTAGAATTAGTTTTATATGGGATTATTGTAAAATTATTCATTATTTTTTTTTAATTTCTGTAACAAAAATGTGTTGGGCTTCAAATAAGAATAATAAATAAAAAGAATTTTCTCAGTAAATTGTCGCGTTGTTATTAATTATTAGTTTGAGGTATCAGTGCCGCTTCTGTTATTTAGCTCTTACTGGCCTAACAGAATGTAATTGCAACAATACAATTGTATATATATATGTATAAGGATGTAAATAATTAATAAAAATGATTGACATTGTTCGCTTTAGTCAGAAGATTAAATTAAAGTTGCCATTTAATATATTGAGCTGATATCTTGAAAGTCATTGATGTATATGTACTTGCATAAATTTAAAATTAAGTTATGTAGAAACATTGCAACATAAGAAGAGAATTGACTAACTGAATCGGTGGGGATAAGTCAATTCTTCAATGATCATCTATAGCAGTAACCTCTATAAATGGACAGGATAAAAGACGTGGTACTTTGTTTCTATTTGATATTCGCCATTTTGGCGCTGATGGCAGGGGTTTGTAGCGGTGGTGTAGATTTGAACTAATAATATAGATAGATTAACTCTCGCGTAACATCAACAAGCGCGTTTAAAAAACGCAGCAAAAGCTGTCATTTCCATCCAATCGCCTATCCATCCATAGAGTTCAGGGAAGTTGCACATACACTTGACATTGCTTGACAACTTGACGTACAGTTGTACCAGACAAGACAGATATGTCAAATAGTTGAAAACAACAACAATTCTGCACAATCTGTTTATTTTGTTTCGATTAATTTCCTAAAATAACATAAATTTATCTTTCTGAAGTTTAACAATTGTTATTTGGCAGTTAAGATTTCTATAAAAGTCATACACAATGTGCTATGTCATAATAACTGGGCGCAGTTTGGCTTGGTTACTAATAAGCTTAGCAGCTTTTATGCTAATAATTACCGGTATTGTGACTCCTAAATGGCTTTTAGGCCAGCCTATAATAACCAATGAAAATAATATTACTGGATTTTTTATACCCACTGTAGGACTTTCTAATCGGTAAGTACACATTTAAAGAAGCATTCTCCAGTTTATATTTGTTCATAGTCATGATGTTTAAAATAAAATATTTATGTATAAACATTGTAGTAAGAAGTAATTGTATATGAAAGTCTCCTTTAATTTTAAGGAAATTAATGATATCTATATATATTACAGTTGCATCCGAAAGGCCCAAGATGGCAATAGTTGCACTCCATTCTCTTTTTATGGCCTAACAACAGACTCGACTATCTATCCAACTCCTTGGAAAGCTGCGATGTTCTTTTTATCATTATGTAAGTGGATTTTTTTAAGATTTTCATCCAAATCTCTTGTGTACACTATGTTATGGTCTATGTGTACTACATGCCTTCAAATTTGTGCACCCAGAGTTTTATTCTTTACAACATCTCATAAATATGAGCCACCATATTGTTTTTATGATACTATGTATTAGTGCTATGGCTTGTTTCCATTAGACTAGCTCGATAAGCCAGTTGCGCTTTAAATCAGTGCTGACATACAGAAGCCAATAAGTCAGTCTGACCGATAACTGTGATGGCATTGTACTTTTCAGGCCAGTTTGGTCATTCTCTTGCCACTGGCATAATGTAGACGGTCTGTTATTAATAATTTTTGTATTTTTATTCAGGTGCTGCAATACAATTCTCAACTGTACTGGCAGGAATTTTTGCTTGTTGTGTTCAGTCTGTTTTTAAGAAAAGTGTCATATCTCTTGCAGGAGCCACTCAATCTCTAGGAGGTAAGAAACCATGAATATAAGTTATCATAATGTAGTATACTAATATTTAAAGAGGATAGATTTGTTTAGCATTGATAAGGTCCGTAACTATGGAACTTTTGAATATTTCTTTTCCTGTTGTGAAGCTACACTATCCTTTGGTAACATAATCAATTAGATTATTCTTATCTTCTTTTTATTACTAGATTTTTCTTAATAATGCACGGACAAAGTAGTGGGCAATAACTATATTAAAATGTAATTGATTTAAAGGCCCGCAACGCATCTGCGGTTCCGCTGGTGTTGCAGATGTCCATGGGTGTCGTTGATCACCTCGGTGTTCCCGCCGTTTGTTTGCCCACTCCTCTTATAAAAAAAAATCTATTTCAAATGAATACATGTCACAATAATATGTTCTTGTACAGGAGTTTCTTCAATGGAAACAAACTCTAATAAAAATAATCTTATAAATTTTTCAGGTTTATTTGGTGTAGTAGGACTACTGCTATATCCCTGGGGCTGGGGATCACAGAAAGTTAAAAGACTCTGCGGAGAAAATTCTGAACCTTATTTACCCGGAGACTGTTCCCTAGGTGAGTGATTGCAACATTAAAAAATTAAACTATGCTATATTTATTTCCAAAAAACATAAGTCTGTTTTACAAAGTAAAGGGTAATAGTAAAGGATTTGAATAATTAAACAGTAGTAGATGCCAGCCACAACATCTGCACAAAGAGGTCGGCTTGAATGCTGCAATACCACAGCCACACAGAAGACATGTGTCATGATGAAATCCTTCCATATTTGGGCTGATGAGTGTCTGTTGGAGGGCTAAATTTAGTCTTACTCTTCCTACTGTTTCTAAGGGAAGGGAAAATGGATTAAATGGAGGATAGGATGTATCGGAAGGGAAAATATTCTCTTTCTATGTGTAGCATCTTCTTTATATTATAGGTATGGCAATGCATAGGCAATTACTTAAAAAAACAGTGTTTTTTTATGTATAAAACATGTATTTCGACAGTTGGAACCCAAAGTTAAATGTTTTATTTGTATTCAAGGCTGGGCGTTCTTCGTAGCAGCAACTGGTGTTGCTCAAATATTTCTTGCAAGTGCATTATCTAAGTCAGCGGACAAAGCTGCTAATTCTGACAAAGTTCAGTTCCAAATGGATGACGGGAAACAACTTATTTGTATTGCTTAAAGATTTACAGTTAGGGAAATTTATTTACTAACCATTATGATGTATACAATTTTTATAATAATTTTTTCTATATTTGATTCTAAATGGATAGTGAATTTATTTCTTTAACTGTATATCTGTTTTTTGTATGCTTTATATTACGCACAGAATTGTTTTTGGTAAAGTATTTTAGTCATTTTAAATACGATATTTTTTTTTTAGTTTTAAGTATTAATATGATAAATAATTTAATAACGCAAAAAGGTTAATAATTGGTTACATTTTAAAAACTATTGATGACAACGCATATGCAATTGCGTATGTCTATGGGCAACGGTCACTTCGCTATATCAGGTGGCCGTTCGTTCGTTTGCTACCTTATGATAAAAAAAAAAATTGTGAATAATTCAAACTGATTTTTTAAATGTATTTATTATGTTGTCGCTACAATGAATGTCTTATTTCATGATTTTCCCATTAATTCAATGCTTTTAGAATCTCTACGAAATTATATATAAATATGTAACATGTTATATCTTTATATATATAATTCTTCTGTGAGTGTGTATGTCACTGAACTTCTCTCAAACGACTGGACCGATTTTGATGAAATTTTTTGTGTATGTTCAAGGGGATCTGGGAATGGATTAGATTCACAATTTTCATTAAATATTAACTTCATATTAATTTATTCAAATTAAAGACGTGTAGACAGGACAACGTCTGTCGGGTCCGCTAGTATAAATATATGACATAAAATAGCAATCTATTAAATTTAAAATATCTAAAATACTCACGTATGTTTGTCCGGTGTCGCCAAGTTTATCATAATCTCATGAAAGTTTGAATAATTTCATAGAAACCACATTGATTAACATCATCATCAGCTTAAATTTATCCACTGCTGGATGTAAGCCTTCCCCATCGATTGCCATAATGCCCGGTCCTTTGCCGCCTACATCCAGTGCACTCTCGCAACCTTGATTTATATACTAAATATAATTTTACTATTTAATCCAATAAAGGTGCTTCTATTAACAATTATATTAAACTATGTTAAATTATCTCAAAGGCCGGCAACGCATCTGCGGTTCCTCTGGTATTGCTCATGTCCATGAGCGTCGTTGAACACCTCTGTGTTCCCGCTGCTCGTTTGCCCCCTTCTGTTATAAATACACACATATAATGTTATAAGTCAAGATATTTAATTATTTACTAAATATTTTTAATATGTTGAAACAAGACTTTATATGTTATGAAATGAACATTAACAAAACGCTTTTACTGTAGGTTTCTGAAACCAAAATCTGTATATATCCCTGTCATTATTGACAACACAGATATAACAATATGTTTTAAACGGAGATTTTGGACTCAGAAACCCATGGTTAGTATTATTATTATAAAATAGTTATAGAATTTTTTACCGACGAAACCTTTTTTTTTTTATGGAAATCTTCGTTTACAAAGAATTTCATATTATACACTAATATACTCTGTTAACCATAGACTGATAATCTTCCATTTTATGTAGTTTTTAGGGTAAATAAAAAAAAATTGTAATCCTAACCATAGAATTTCACTGTCATTACAAAACTATATTGTCTATGTTTTGTTGGAATGAAAAGAATGACATTATGAATTAAAAGTGTCATGACAATTGGAACTCTATGGTAAGGAAGAAAAATGCATTTACAATCGAATTCGATGGAAATAAGGAATTGTAAAAACCTATCTAAATAGTTCAACCTTTATAAGACTCTAACCTCAGATTTATTACAGATATGTTTATAAGAAGAAAGTTAACATGTATGGATGGATTGATGGATGGATGTTTGTATGTTATCTCCAGAACGGTTCAAATCTTAATAAAATTTGACATAGTCTGGAAGAACACATAGACTACTAATTAAGTTTTTTTTTAATCCGCCCGCACGGATTTGTGGACGTACGCTCTTAAATCCATAAACAACAAATGACGTCAGCAAGTGACATGTAAATATAATTTCTTATTTCCATGGAATTCGACTGCTTTATATAAGGTTACAAGTTCACCATTATGTTAAACAACAGATAAAAATATTATATATAATTATAACACAATCTAATCTCAATATATAGTTATTTTTTTAAACAAATTCATTTAGTAATGTTTACTCCGTATTAAAAATACTTTTTTTTATTTTATAGCTTTAACAATTTCGACCAGTATTATTTTTCAAAATTATTTCGCTTATGTTTCATTGGTTTTATATTTAAAATTATGGTAACCCAAAATTTCTATATTTCTAAGATGAAATGGAATAATTTAAAACATTTAAAATATATAAAATTAATATTCAAATATCATAATTAAATATTTTATAATACTCAAGAATCGCCAGTTATTTTTTTTTTAATTTAGTATTGTTTAGTAATAAATATTTTTATTACCTAATACAGTTCTGTATGAAAAGTTAGTGATTATTTTATACAATTTTCTAAGCTTTTTTTGTACTAATTATATCTTGTATGTAAATTTTGTACCCTATTAATATTAAGAAATTTTATATACGCATTTACTGTACCAATTTTACACGAATAAATTTTTAAGAATTACTTGAAGTTTTTTTTTATTCATAATAAAACTCACCAGTTACGATTATAAAATATTTTACATTAGTATGGGACACGAAATCGAACAATTAAAAAGAAAAAAATTAGTTCCTTCATAAATAAATTACGGTGGTAACAAAAGATTCCAAAACATAGTTCCATCTCCGAGGTTTTCTGAAACAAAATCTTCATTTAAAACATATTGCTATCTCTATTTTGTCAAAGATAATGATAAGGATGACGATATGTTTTATGCAGAGGTTTTAGTCATTTCAAGTAATTTATCCGATTCGAACATTAATTTTACGTGCAATGTATCCAATCTATACAGTATATAAGTTTGGACTTATATACAGAATTCCTTGTGCTATAAAAATGACGTAAAAAAAAAACAATTTTCGTAGTCAGTATGATTTATTTATAAGTGAGTAGAATGTGTTAATTTCTTTTGTGTTTTAATATACATAATTTTAAATTTGGAAGTCAATTCTTTTTAAAATAAGACGTGGCTATTTTAAATGGAACGTTTTTGTTTGTAAAATTAGAATAATATGAAGTGACTTAACTGAAGGTATGTAACATTTTTATAAACAATTAACTTTTGATGAATAATAATTGTAATATATAAAATTAGGAGTCAATTAAGTTATTTGAACAAGTTATTTACTTAATTGACTTAATTTTAAGTTAAACTTACTCAACAATTTTATAAATTGTTTTTCTAATAAAGTTTTCGGTTGAATTTATAAATTGAAACTAGTTACAACTAAATTATTCAAATTTAATTGTAACCGATACATGTAAGGCAAGAATTTTAAAATCACAACATGGCCGCCATGTCTTCGATTAATTATTTAAACCCTTATACAGTATGACAAATGCTAGGACCGCCATTACAGACTAGAGGCAATTACTGCATCGAACTTGTAATTTACATTTGCTATTCCAATAGGCCTCTTATTATGACAGTGTCGCATTATGTAAGCGATTCCTTGTACTTTTGTATGTTTAATTATTACTTAGCCTTTAATGTACTTCCTTCGGACCAATAGAATCTATCTGAAAGTAATCACGTAATAATGTTATTTTCAAAGGGTACTTATTTTCTTGTAATACCTATGACATATTTACCCATCAGTTTAGGTATAAGATATTAGTTAGAGGGGATTCTAATTTTATGAAAATTAAAAAAACATAATTAGTAGCCTACGTGTTCTTCCAGATTATGTTATAAAATCTGGATGGTGTTTTTTGGAAATTATATTTAAGTACGAATTACTAATAAAATGATGAAACATGAATAATATTTTTCGATCTTACCGATAGCAAAATTTAAGTTTATGTTTAAGTTGATTATCGTTAAAACACGAATAAAATGACATTTTCTAAAAATGATTCCTAGCTAGATCGATGTATCGCCCCCGAAACCCCCATATACTAAATTTTATGAAAATCGTTGGAGCCGATTCCCAGTTTCCAATTATATATACAAGAATTGCTCATTTAAAGATATAAGATAATTGTTCCAAATTCAACGAGATCCGTTCAGCCGTTTTGGAGATACCTTCAAACAAACAAACATACGTTCATCCATCCATCCATTCGCATTTATAATATTAGTATGATTAACTATAAATATATCCCAAATCTATCCATTAAAGTTTTGTACGAAATGATTCAAAAAATCTCATCTATCAATCAAAAAGCAAAGTTTCTCGCAGTAATTTTCGAATTCCGTCTTAAAATTCGCGCCATCTTTTCTTTGCTGGCGGGAATTTTATTTATCCAATATGGCGACCTATAGATATTGTAGAACGGGTGAGAATCGTTTGTTGTTTCTGAACGGAATGTACGTTTTTAATACAGTAAATCAATCAAGTGAATACCGAACCAGTGATTACAGACAAACGTTACCTGAGGGTAATGTGTTCGATGTCTATACATGTGAGGCATCAATCAAAACTCCTCTATTTTTCTCTTTGAAACTCCTAACTTCTTGTTAGGTGTAGATCCTTTTTTTTATTTTCTAAAGCTTACAGTTTTGTATTAGATAAATAGAAAGGGAGGGAAAACTTTTATTAATGTTAAATACATTATTCAAACCTGAAGAGTGCACTACTTTTTTTTTTAAGTTTTCAAGGCGTGAAATAGGAGTACTTTACCTATAGTTTCGAGATTGCGCCTAAGTTATATATCTTACTTCTTACTAGGGTGGATGGATGTTTGTTTGAAGGTATTTCCGGAATGGCTCAACGGATTATGATAAAATTTGACACAATTGTAGAACCTAGTCTGGAAGAAGACATAAGCTTATAAAGCAATTTTTTTAATTCTGCACGGACAGAGTCGCGGGCAACAGCTAGTAAATCATTAAAATACCAATAAGAATTGCAGGAAGAATAAAGTAAGGCACGGTTAAGATTTAGGTAATAGTCATTCGTTAGTTCCTTTGCTTGGTTTTACACTTAAAAAAATAATAAAAAAAACAATTGAATATTTGTGTAGTCCAATACAGAGGTTATAAATACAAAAAGGTCGTGTATTACGTTCGACCAGGCTGGTAACAATTCGACCAATAGGAGCATACCAGCCGAACACTCGGTCACGATTCGAGCGCCCCATACATATCCTAATGCCTTCCTTTTACAATTCTACAAGACGAGAGGTTGTTGTTA